GGCGGTGCGGGCGCGCTTGCCGCGCATGCGCCTCGCACGCAGGCCCCAAACGCTAGCCACTGTATCATGAGTTGACGCACTGCTCATCAGTCTTCCATCGGCAAGACTACGTCTACATGGCGCTCCCCCTGGCCTGGTGCACCTGCTTGGAAATCTGCCAAGATCACATTGCGCAGTTCAGGGATTCCCATACTGGGGTCGATACGTCTGTTCCAGCATTCTTCTTTACACTCCGTCACCAGGCTCAGCAATCCGCCGGCATACACGGATAGAGGCGCAGCAGATGAATGCTATCATGATATCCCGAGTACAGGGTCATCCCCATGCGCAGCGGCGGAATGCAACGGCTTGCCACGCGGACGACGCCGACGGCGATGACGACGCTGACGGCGACAACGACGACGACGATGACGACGACGACTGCGGCGACGACGCCGACGACGTCCCAGGCAAGCGGCGAACGTCATGCTCCTCATTCGCCTCCTCCTCCTCCTCCTCCTCCTCCTCCTCCTCCTCCTCCTCCTCCTCCTCCTCCTCCTCCTCCGACTCCGACTCCGATTCCGACTCCGCCGCCTCCTACTAACCCGCAGCCCCTCCGGCCCAAGGATACGGAGGTCTATTGTGGATCCGCGTAGCGCGTCACTGTACTGGGCCCCCCAGCAGGCCTCGAAAGTGGATACAGTTTCACAGATCGCAGCCCCCCAGGGATGGCGAGGTCAAATTTGGGTCCGCGCGTGGCGTCACTGTGCTGGGCCCCCCAGCAGGCCTCGAAAGTGGCGACAGTTTCGCAGATCGCAGCCCCCCCAGGGATGGCGAGGTCTAATGTGAATCTGCGTGTGGGGTCACTGTGCTGAGCCCCCCAGCAGACCTCGAAAGTGGCGACAGTTTCACAGATCGCAGCCCCCCAGGGATGGCGAGGTCTAATTTGGGTCCGCGCGTGGCGCCACTGTGCTGGGCCCCCCGGCAGGCCTCGAAAGTGGCGACAGTTTCACAGATCGCAGCCCCCCAGGGATGGCGAGGTCTACTTTGGGTCCGCGCGTGGCGTCACTGTGCTGAGCCCCCCAGCAGGCCTCGAAAGTGGCGACAGTTTCACAGATCGCAGCCCCCCAGGGATGGCGAGGTCTAATTTGGGTCCGCGCTGGAGTCACTGTGCTGGGCCCCCCAGCAGGCCTCGAAAGTGGCGACAGTTTCACAGATCGCAGCCCCCTAGGGATAGCGAGTTCTAATTTGGGTCCGCTCGTGGCGTCACTGTGCTGGGCCCCCCAGCAGGCCTCGAAAGCGGCGACAGTTTCACAGATCGCAGACCCCCAGGGATGGCGAGGTCTAATTTGGGTCCGCGCGTGGCGCCACTGTGCTGGGCCCCCCAGCAGGCCTCGAAAGTAGCGACAGTTTCACAGATCGCAGCCCCCCGCAAGCAAGACAGGAGGAGGCAGGCAGGAGGCAGGAGGGAGGCGGGAGGAGACGCGCGAGCAGTGCTCTATTCAAAACGAATGCCCAACCAAGGAGGGTTGGGAATAAAGCAGGAAGCAGGACGCAGGAGGAGGGAGGGAGGCGGGAGGAAGGAAGGTGGAGACCACAGTCCCTTATTCAAAACGAATACCCAACCAAGGAGGGTTGGGAATAAAAAATATACCAAAAATGCTCCCAAAAGGTAAACCATATTCAAAACATGCCCCCCCAGACTATTTTTTTGTATTGTTTGATTACTTTTGGGTATTTACCTAACAGCGAAGACTGATAGGTTTCTAGTAGGGTCAAAAGAGAGCATCATGACTCCCCAAAGGGGTCTGGGCGGGATCCGGACGGGATCCGGACGGGATCCGGGGACTCTTTTTTAGCCAACAGTAACGCACTTCGTGGTCTTCGAGTTCCCAGAACTCCATTCCTGGGCATGATTTTGAATGCCCGGAGCCAACTGTAGGCCACTTCGTGTTCTTCGAGTTCCCAGAACTCTGTTCCTGGGCATGATTTTTGGATGCCCGGAGCCAACTGTAGGCCACTTCGTGGTCTTCAACTTCCCAGAACTCCATTCCTGGGCATGAGGCTGAGGCCGAGGCTGAAGGCAGACTGAGGCTGAGCAGACTGAGGCTGAGGCTGAGGCAGGCTGAGGCTGAGGCTGAAGCAGGCTGATGCTGAGGCAGGCTGAGGCTGAGGCTGAGGCTGATGCAGGCTGAGGCTGAGGCAGGCTGAGGCTGAGGCCGAGGCTGAAGGCAGACTGAGGCTGAGGCTGAAGCAGGCTGAGGCTGAGGCTGAGGCAGGCTGAGGCTGAGGCTGAGGCAGGCTGATGCTGAGGCAGGCTGAGGCTGAGGCTGAGGCTGATGCAGGCTGAGGCTGAGGCAGGCTGAGGCTGAGGCCGAGGCTGAAGGCAGACTGAGGCTGAGGCAGGCAGGCTGAGGCTGAGGCTGAGGCTGAGGCAGGCTGAGGCTGAGGCTGAGGCTGATGCAGGCTGAGGCTGAGGCAGGCTGAGGCTGAGGCCGAGGCTGAAGGCAGACTGAGGCTGAGGCTGAAGGCAGGCTGAGGCTGAGGCAGAGGCAGGCTGAGGCTGAGGCTGAGGCAGGCTGAGGCTGAGGCAGGCTGAGGCTGAGGCTGAGGCTGATGCAGGCTGAGGCTGAGGCAGGCTGAGGCTGAGGCCGAGGCTGAAAGCAGACTGAGGCTGAGGCTGAAGCAGGCTGAGGCTGAGGCTGAGGCTGAGGCAGGCTGAGGCTGAGGCTGAGGCAGGCTGATGCTGATGAGGCTGAGGCTGAGGCTGAGGCTGGCAGGCTGAGGCTGAGGCAGGCTGAGGCTGAGCAGGCTGAGGCTGAGGCAGAGGCAGGCTGAGGCTGAGGCTGAGGCAGGCTGATGCTGAGGCAGGCTGAGGCTGAGGCTGAGGCTGAGGCTGAGGCTGAAGCAGGCTGAGGCTGAGGCAGGCTGAGGCTGAGGCTGAGGCAGGCTGAGGCTGAGGCAGCAGGCTGAGGCTGAGGCAGGCTGAGGCTGCAGGCTGAGGCTGAGGCTGAGCAGGCTGAGGCTGAGGCTGAGGCTGATGCAGGCTGAGGCAGGCTGAGGGCTGAGGCTGAGGCTGAGGCTGAGGCAGGCTGAGGTGAGGCTGAGGCTGAGGCTGAGGCAGGCTGAGGCAGGCTGAGGCTGAGGCTGAGGCAGGCTGAGGCTGAGGCTGAGGCTGAGGCCGAGGCTGAAGGCAGACTGAGGCTGAGGCTGAAGCAGGCTGAGGCTGAGGCTGAGGCAGGCTGAGGCTGAGGCTGAGGCAGGCTGATGCTGAGGCAGGCTGAGGCTGAGGCTGAGGCTGATGCAGGCTGAGGCTGAGGAGGCTGAGGCTGAGGCCGAGGCTGACGGCAGACTGAGGCTGAGGCTGAAGCAGGCTGAGGCTGAGGCTGAGGCAGGCTGAGGCTGAGGCTGAGGCAGGCTGATGCTGAGGCAGGCTGAGGCTGAGGCTGAGGCAGGCTGAGGCAGGCTGAGGCTGAGGCCGAGGCTGCAGGCAGACTGAGGCTGAGGCTGAAGCAGGCTGAGGCTGAGGCTGAGGCAGGCTGAGGCTGAGGCAGGCTGAGGCTGAGGCTGAGGCAGACTGACGCTGAGGCTGTGACTGCGACTGCCGTTGCCACTGCGACTGTCATCGCGAATGCGACTACGACTGCGAGAACGGCAGAATTCTACAACTGGATTCTCATCTGAATCTTAAGGGGAATGCTTCCAGATATGCTCCTACACATCGCTGCTAGGTTGCTTTGCCAGGGTCATTTTTTAGTCGAAAATCCCCCTGTAGGGGGACAGGCCCGACTTAAGGGTAGGCGGGTTTGTTTCGGCTCCCCCGCAGGAGCGCGGCACAGCGGCCGGGGGCCGCGGCCACGGCGTGTAGAGGCACACGGGTCGAATTTGGATGTACTGGCGACGCGGATGTTCCTGTTCGGGGTTCTTAGTTACTGCCCTGAGATGGTGCGTGCCCTTGGGCTCGTGCACGCTCGCAGCCTTGGGGAAGAGCTGCGGGGGATGATCGGCTGCACGGTCTGCAGCTGCTCGTACAGCGAACGGACCAATCCCGACAACTTTTGATGCTCCAACTTCAAGTCCAGAGAGGTGGCGGTCCCCTTGAGATTGTAGAGGCAAGCTACAAACTCGTTCACGTCGAGGGCGCCGTTGCCGTCCTCGTCCATGATGCGGAATAACTCCCTCAAGCCGGTGTGGCTTCTAAAGAACAGGTCCACCCCGTTTTCCTCCAAGAATTTCACGTTCTTTTGTGTGCTCAGCAACTCGATGAAAGCATCCTCCGTGATCATCCTGTTTTCATCCGATGAGGCCAGGGAGTGCGGCGTGTGGCTGATGTTCTTTATAGCAGTCAGGAAGAATTCGCTGGTCTCGGCCACCCAATCCTTCTTCTTGTAGACGAGCTCCTGCACGTCGTCTATTCGATTTGCTGCCTCCAAGAAGACGGCGGTCAACAAATTGAGAATGCAGAAAACCCCGACGACAATGTACAGAATAAGACAGCACACCAATATCCAGTGTATGTGCCTGAATGGACCTGCAACATCACCCCAGTCCCGCCCACCTGTGAGGGCCTCGAATAGCGAGTACATGCTCTCCCATAAGTTCGAAAAGTTCTTTGCGATGTAGTTCATCGCTTTCAGGTCCTCTTCATCGATTTCCTTATCTTGGACTGCACGCAAGTACTCTGTGATGAGCTGAGCTATGAGAATCCCCATCATGTAAGTCAAACACAACAGCAACACCCCAGCCCAGAAAAGAGGTCTCGCGCAATTTAGAAGCCCAGTAATCATTATCTCCAACTCCTTAAATTCGCGGGCTACCCTGAACGCGCGCATCATCCGAGTCACCCTGAGAAGGCGAGTTAGACGCAGAAAACCAAAGGTTATCACGTCTACTGAGAAATATCTGAGGAACTCCTCGGCAACAGTGACCAGGATAAGCAACGTGTCCATCCAATTCCAGAGAACATCCCGATTACGGGGTACGAGGAATTTGGTACCATCGGCGATGAAGCGAATCGAAAGTTCTGCTAGAAACGCCAAGGCAAAGAACCCGTTGGCGAGTCGCCATGAAATACTTTCTGGCAAAGCGAAGCTGGGAGAGATCATGATCGCGTTCGCCTCAAACCCTAGGTACACGCTGTTTGCTAAAATCACGCACGCGATGCACACACCGAAGCTGCGACTGCTGCACACGTCCGTGCAGAGGGCGCGACAAGAACGGCCCTGATGGAGTAGCAACTGGCTTCGAGGGGGTGGAGGAGCCACCAGCCTCATTTCGAACGGGCTGGTGGTCCGGGTAGGCGTCACTGCGGGATGGCAGTCGCCCTCCACGGCGATCTGGATCTCCGGCAGTGGAGCCCCTGGCTCGCTGGCCTCGCCGGGCGGCTCGAAGAGCGCCTCGATCCGGGCCAGAGCCCCCCCCTGCTGCTGGACCATCTCGCGCAGGCCTGCCTCCCCCGCGCGCCGCTCCTCCGCCTCGCGCTCCAGCAGCTCCTCCAGGCGGCCTTGCGGCGCGGCCTCGTGAACCGGGGTGGGCGCGGCGCGCCCCGCCGAGGCCAGCGCCGCGAGGGGGGCCTGCAGCTCCCGCGTCTGCTTCTGGATCTCCTCCTCGACGCAGCCCCTCAGCTGCCGCGTGTGTTCCGCCAGTAATCTCTGCACCTGCGCCGTCATGGAGTGCTGCTTCTGAGCCTCCTCCGCCACGCCGGCATATGCGGCACGCAGCTGCTTCGTCTGCTCCGCCAGTATCTTCTGGATCCCCCCCAGCAGCGCCTCCGACCACCAGAGCCGCTCAGCGGCGATGTCTGGCTCGGAGTTCGCTTGCGAGGACCTCCAGCACACCTGCTCGAGCGAACCGGACACCAACGACGACCTCCCGGAGTCGGCCATGGCCCTGCGCCGGGACGAGGAAGTGCCAGGCGCGAGGCTCGCGGCAGGGCGCCGATCTGCGGCGCCGCCCAGGCGCTTGAGCCAGATCTGCGACGGAGGTGGGACCTAGCGCATCTTGATGCTCAGATTACGTTCGCGGCAATGCTCCAGGTTTGCGAGGGGAATAGTCCCAGAACTCAATCGCATCAAACTTCTCCAAGCCCTTCACCGAAGACCTGTAAAACTTCTCACCGCGCTCAACGAACGGCTCTGAATTGTCCGCCACCGCGCTTGCAGCGATGGGTGCGTATCGGTTGTTCCTCCCAACCCTCCTGTGAAAGTTGGGTCGTCGTTTTGGATCCGCAGCGCCTCGCGTCTCGTCCCACCTCCTCGTCCATCCCCTCCTTGCCTCTGCTCTCTGCACCATGCTAATTTCAGCATGCCCCTCACACGCTCCGTGGACCGAAGAACCCAGCGGCAGAGTTCGCACGGCGGTGGTGCCTAACTTCGGCATACCCCTCACACGCTTCGTAGCCCCATGGGGAGCTCCACCGAATCCTCCAGTGGCAGGGTCTATATGGTGGCGGTGCATCATGGCACACCCCGACACAACGCTTCGTGGTCCCATACGGTTGAGGGGACAAATATATGCAACACTCCACCTCCCTCGCACTTCAAAGTTGGCACGTTCACAAACTATCGCTCGGACACTCAAGCTTGGAGTATCCGAAACCAACATTGTATTCGGGGGAAGGGGGCGAGTTCAGACCATCTGTTACGTGTGAATGTTGTTCAATTGTTTCCGACACCTGCCGGGAAAACCTCTCACGGCTACAGAGGGCATGTTCGCAATGCGCCGCCAGCCCAATTTCAGCAAACCCCACACACGCTTCGTGGCCCCATGGGGAGCTCCACCTACGGCCCCAGTGGGCATGGTTGCATGGCGCCCCCAAGCACACATCGGCAGATCCCCCACACGCTTCGTGATCCCATAGGGACAGCCACCTGCGGCCACAGTAGGCATGTTCGCATGGCGCCGCCCCGCCAATTTCGGCAAACCCCTGACACGTTTCGCGGCCCCTTAGAAAGCTCCACGGGCATGTTCGCGTGGCACCGTCACGCCCATGCCAGTACACCCCTCACTTGCTTCGGGGGGGCCTCCACCTAAGGCCACGAAGAACATGTTCGCATGGCGTCCCCCCCCCATTGCACACCCATCATACGTTTCGTAGCCCCGTAGGATACTCCACCTACGGCCCCAGCGGGCATGCTCGCATGGCGTCCCCCCGCTCACTTCGGAACACCCTTCACGCTTCGTGGCCCCGTGGGGAGCTCCACCGAAGGCTCCACTGGGCGCGTTCGCATGGCGCCGCCCCGCCCAAGTTGGCACATCTCTCACACGTGACGTGGCTCCATCAGGGACCTCCACCTACGGCCCCAGGGGGCATGTGCGCGTGGCGCCGCCCCGCCCATGCCGGCTTACCCCTCACGCGCTCCGTGGCTGAGCAGGGAGCTCCACCTGCGACCCAGTGGGCATGTTCGCGTGGCGCCTCCACGCACATGCCCACATCCCTCGCACGCTTCGTGATCCCATGGGGACAACCACCTACGGCCCCAGCGGGCATGCTCGCATGGCGCCGCCCCGCCCGTCTCGGCCTACCCCTCACACGCTTCGTGGCCTCATGGGGAGCTCCACCGAAGGCTCCACCGCAGCTGGCGGCTCCGTTTCGGCACACCTTCATGCGTTCCTTGCTCCATAACATGGAGCACCGCCGAAGGCCCCAGTGGCGATATCCGCGGGCTGGGCGGCTCCACTTCGCCTCGACGCGTCACTCGGATCGCGACCCATCGGGAGCTCCACCCATGGCACCAATCGGGCGTCATGGTGCGTCCACAGTGCCGCCCCCGCGTCCATTTCGGCACACACCTCACGCGGATGGTGCCACATAGGGAGCTCCACCGCCACCCATCCGCGGTGCCCCGAGCTACATCCCGTTCGCCGCACGCTGCCTATGACAAGAGGACGACGCCTTGCACCACCCGCAGCTGCATAGGTCAGGTTCGTCGTCAGGTTAATGTGTTACTTTCGACTCTTGCGAAGCAATCGTGAGAACCCCCCCCCGACGCAGCGAGCCCAACATTCGTTCATGGTTGGTCAAGTCCCTGCGCTTTTGCCCTCCAAACGTATGCCACAATCAAGAACATGACATGTTTCACTGCACCTCCTCCCCCGGGGCGACCCACCGCCCCGCCCCCCCCCCGACTGGCTTCTGATGTGCCCCGTGAAGCTGTTGCGTGGCCCGTTGGATTTTCGTGTGGCTTGGCGCGCGACTGGATGAGTTTCGCTGTGGCCCGCGCTGGCCATTTCATGAAACGTTGTATGTGCACTCTTTGTTTGCTAGCTCTAGAACTCCTGGTCACTCTTGAGGGCTTGCACTCCCTCCCACAAAATAGGGGCCACTCACAAACAACTAAGTAGGGGCGTGTTGATTCGGCTGGTAGTAATAGGAATGGAAAGACTCGTGTAGTAATCCCGTCGTAGCAGTGTTAGTCGTGGTAGTAGAAGTAGTGGGGGCAATAGGAGAGGTAGTACTAGTACAAGTACGAAAAGTATTAGTAGTAGTCGTCGTCGTCGTAGTAGCAGTAGTAGTAGTAGTCGTAGTAGTAGTAGTAATCGTAGTAGTAGAAGTAGTAGTAGCAGCAGCAGCAGTAGTAGTGGTCGTAGAAGTAATAGTAGAAGAAGGAGATTAACAAGCAGTGGTAGCAATAGCACTAGGAACAATAATAGCAGTAGTAGTAGTAGAAGCAGTAGTGGTAATAATTCGCCGGCCCAACGGGCCAGGGCGTGCTAAGATCTCCGGTAACTGGTTAACAGTATTAACAATATTTCTAGTTCGCGCGCGCGGGGCGGCCCCTGGGGGTCCCCCGGCGAAAAGTACCCCGACCAACGCCCGACCAAGTCTACTCAGAGATGGTTTTCCTTCTGGGTGCGGCCTCTCAGGCTCCCAGAGCGCGCTCAGAGTGCCCCAAGAGGCCCCCAAGACTGCCCAAGAGGCCCCCGAGACGCCCAAAGAGCGCTCGAAGACGCCGAAGATGACCCCAAGACGGCCCAAAAGGCCCCCAAGACAGCCCAAGAGGCCTCCAAGACGCCCCAAGAGCCTTCCAAGAGGCCTCCGAAGAGAGCCCCAAGAGGCCAAAATCGTTGATTTTCATTGGTTTTTTCGATGTTTTGTGTGTTCTGGCTTTTTCGGCTTCCGGACGCTCAAGACGGCCCAAGAGGCCCCCAAGACCGCTCCAAGACGGCCCACGAAGCTCCCAAGACGGCGCCGAAACGACCCAAGAGAGCCCTCAAGACGGCCCAAGTGCCGCCCAAGACGGACCAAGAGGCCCCAAGACGGGCCCAAGAGGGACTCAGGAGGGATACCGAGAACTCAAAAATGGAGCCCTCCGTCCCAGAAGGCGCCCAGGAGGTCCCAAAGAGGCCCCAAGAGGCCTCCAAGAGGCCCCAAGATGTCGCCAAGAGGCCCCAGGAGACTCCCAGGAGGCCCAAAAGAAGCCCCAGAAGGCTTCAAACATGTCTCCCAGGCGCCCCCGAACGGCCTCTCAACAGACCCCAAGAGGCCCCCCAAAGAAGCATCTTGACGACGACTCTATTTCGCCCCATCGAGAGACGACCCCCAGGGAACTGCTTCACCATCAAAACTCCCCACGCAACGCGTCCGAACGACACCCGCCTCCAAGAGCGCAACATGGGCAACGAACACACAGACAAAAACCAGCGATGCCATATCACGGGCATGCGGAATGAGCGAAGCGATTCAATAATCTTAGCAGAAATAGTCGTAATAATAGTCGTAGTCGTAGTAGTAGTAGTAGTAGTAGTAGTAGTAGTAGTAGTAGTAGTAGTAGTAGTAGTAGTAGTAGTAGTAGTAGTAGTAGTAGTAGTAGTAGTAGTAGTAGTAGTAGTAGTAGTAGTAGTAGTAGTAGTAGTAGTAGTAGTAGTAGTAGTAGTAGTAGTAGTAGTAGTAGTAGTTAGTAATAGTAGTAGAAGTAGTAGTAGTAGTAGTAGTAGTAGTAGTAGTAGTAGTAGTAGTAGTAGTAGTAGTAGTAGTAGTAGTATTAGTAGTAGTAGTAGTAATAGTAGTAGTAGTAGTGGT